CATTTCATGAAAATGGAGTGCCCGCTGGCAGCCTGACCCAGCACTCCCTGCTCCCTCAGGAGCAGGAGTTGGTGTCTCCTTTCCAGGGCACATCTGAGCAGCTCTAGGCTGAACAAAAACTTCCATGTGCTGTAAGGACTGGCCAGATCTGGAGGCACAACTACCCCTATGGGAACTCTAGGACTTTAAAAGGAGCCTTTTAAAAGGTAGAGTGTATTAAGATAATGCTGCTGCTGCAAATGTTTTGGTCCATGTTTGCTGTGTAGGAAGAAGGTAGAAAGGATCAGAGCAGGCTCTAGGTTTTACACAGACCTCTTGTTTCCACACCTTACTACTGTTCCTCTAGCAGGGGAAGATACTGGTATTGCTAGCATGTTCATTAGCCTGCATTGCTTTAATTTTTGAGTGACAAGTGAAGACACCTTCCCAGCATACCGAATGTTCAGTGACATTTCAGTACCAAAACTGAGCACAGACCTGACTAAAATCTGTGCTCCTGTTTACTGCTGTATTTCTGTGGTCTGCAAACACATGGCAAGTGTCAACAACACAGTAAATTGGTGGTGGCCCCTTTCTTATACTTGCTCTCTCCCATGGCAACAAAAGCTACAGACTAATCCTTGTGTAAGCAACTGCAGATCTCTGACCAGAAGGCACCCTGACCAATGGGGCAGCATGCTTTTTGGCACATGCAACACTGCATCCTGAACTCACCCTGCATTTCCTGCCATTTGTATTTTAAAAGCATACCATATGTTACATGGTGCTTGGCTTGGGGAAACTGCTTTGAGCTGCTTACACCAAACATAACCTTTGGCCCAAGTGCTGCAAAGCCCCAGTCCCTACTGGTTCCTGATATTTATCTGTCTTGTCATTGGGAGTTCCTGAAGGAATTTAATGCCTGAGTAGCTCTAAGCTCATCCAGTTTTTGGTCTTATACCTCCTGACTTTTTTTTTTTTTTTTTTTTTTTTTTTTTATATTTTTACCAAAGGTAAATCTTTTATATTTCTACCCCTTTTTTTTTTTTTTTTTTTTTTTTTTTTTCATATAATTATACCTAAGGGATAGCCTTTAGTCATCCATCTGTTTTTGGTGCTGCAGCTCACATTAGTAGCAGGTGGATCTAGGATTAAACTCACTTACATTAGAAGTCTACAGCAAAAATAGTGTAATGAAAAGAATTTGACACTCACAGTATGTGATTCTTCTGTATGATCTACCGTAGATAAAGTGTGTCTTGAGAGTGCCTATTTGTCAAAGAACACTCTACTTTTCTGGCTTTGGAAGTTAGATATCATTACCAAAATCTCTTGCATCTTGGAACACTGAGCAGACCTCCGCCCTTTCATAATTTGTTCACTAATGCAAACTAAAACTAATTTTAGTTAGTTAGTTTAATTAAGACATTTTGAAAAGCCTTTTGACTCTTCGAGATCTTTTTGACACCTGGCCTTTAAGGAATCTTTCAAACACTATCATTGAAAGCATCTGGTTTAGAGGAGTTCATACTAAAAAGGAATTAAAAAGATGACTTTTTTTTTTTTAAATCTTTCTTATAACTAGAAACCACTGCTGATCTGTAGAAGTTTGTAGGTAAAAAACACAAAAGGTGACTATCAGAAAGTAAGACAATGTAGGGGCATCTCCTGGAAACAGCAAGGGAGAGCAGTGACAAAGTAATGGGCAACACTGCATCTACGAGCTGCAGTTCAGATGCGGGACTGGCACACGCTGAGGTATCTGGTTGGGTAGTGTTCTGCCAATGACCAGGCACGACAAGAATGATACAGCCAGCAGGAAGATGAACCAATACACAGACTGTATTGTAAACAAAAATGTCGTAACATGAATGACCGCCGGGGGTACAAACATGTCAATCAGCTGGTACATAATTGACGCCACCCCCAACGATCCCACAAAAGATGTGACTCAGCCCACAACAGGCGGTACAAACAGAGACCCGAGGGTTCCCATAGCTGGCATGGGAAACAGCCAGACCAGAAAGCTAAACATATACCATAAATGTGTCCACATGGCAACTCTCACCTGATCAGCCCACGTTCACAAAGGTCTAGACAGACCAGGGCCCAGCTCCAGGGAGAGTCAGGAGGTCTGCCCTGAACCAGGAAGCTCTGGGGAGTGCACTCCACAGACAGACACTCCTGACTCCTGCAAGTGGTCCCAGCTTTTATCCCCAAGCAGACACCTGACCTTTGTCAACTCAATGTGGGACCCCTGGGGCTCATTTCCCTTCTGGCTCTCCCTGCAGGGCCGGCCGCACCCTGGGGGGAAGCTATAAGGCAAACTCACCACCTCTGTATGAAGGGCTGTGGGAATCACCCATATGTCAACCTTAATTCAGGGCTTGGGGTTCAAACCCCAGCATTTCAGGTAGTTAGCTCAAGCTTTCTTGCAACAGATGGGTGAGCTGGTTTTGGAGCCAGAAGAACTTAGCACCATGTTTTAAAGCAAACGTGCACAATGCTGGCACCACAAAAGGGAAAGATGGTACACACTGTGGAGGCCACAGAGGAGGTTGTTACTTTTGGCAGTTTTATGCAGCATGGATGAGGAAGTGATAGATGGTGGTGGACAGCTCCAAAACTTTATGTAGAATGGAAGTGGTTTGTTCTACACAAACCTAGTGGCACTGCACTTTCTAGAAAAGTCTTTTGTTGAGACCCGTTTTTGTCTCTTATTCTAAAATAGACTAGGCAATTGTGCATAGACCAAGTGTTAGGACTTCTGAAGGCAGGGTCCAAGAAACCCTCTGCTCTGCTCACTTGCAAGGTAGGACTAGAACAAGGACAACTAGTTGCAAGCAGCATTTTAGTAGGTGGGTATTGCCTTGGCAAATGGTTGCATGAGCAACAGGTTCTGCTGCCTGCTTCGATAGGATTGCTTTTCTCATTTTGCTCTATTTCCCCCAGCTTCAAGCAAGAACTGGCTTCAATTATGCTTTGTACATGGTTTTCATAGATGGCATCTCAGCATGTCAGTGAGACATCAATGAGCTGGAAGAACTAGCTGGTTCATTAGCTTGCTAATAAGCTCCCTCCTTAACAAGAGAAAAGCTTTTGCTAGCTCGTTGTCTCTCCAATACACTTTCTTCCATGCCCTACAAATACCATTTTTATAGGTCAAAGACACTATTCGTGTATGTCCTTCCCTCTGGTTTCTGTCTTTTCTCCACATACTCTACCTGTATCTAAACTCTAAATTCTGCCTGGGTGATGGTGGACAAGGAAGGTTAGATGAAGTTATTCCAATATTTCTGATATCTTTCAGTGTCAGAGCCAGTGTTTATAGAATAGAAAAATAATTATCTCATTAAGATGTCTGAATAGCTCTTAATTTATCTTTTATGTTCTGCTGTAATAGCTCTATCAGTAAAGAGCATGAAAAAAAATCATACCCCAAGTCCACACATCTGTATTGCAACGCCCCTGGTTCCATGGCTGGAGCAATCCTTTGGTCATTTCCCTCTGAGCCGTTTGTGGAGAGGTGCAGCTCTCTGGGAGGAGAGGAGACACCTTGGCACAGCTGCAAGGGTAGAGGGTTTGCTTTCTGGGTGTGCACTTCCCAAGCTGTGGGTTTCTATACCCAGTCATGCCTGTCAGTGAGAGCATATCACTTTTCACCAGTCCTCCACCTGCCACATAGCAGTAAGAGACACATCCTGGCCTTCCACTCAGTTCTGCTGCCACATTGTGTGTTTTGTTTCTAGAGTGCTCTTTCATTCTGATGTCTAGAGTACTGCTGAACATAAGGTAAAAAAGTGAACATGAGGCTATATAAGTGATTTTATAACAGAAAGATAAAATGTTTCCCAAAGGGCTACCAGAAAATCATGCTGCATGTCAGAGGAGGAAGTGGGGGGAGTGGTGGGATCATGCTCATAAGCAGTAGTGAATACAGCAGATGTAAACCCCCTCAAAATGCTGTATACAAGTGACTGTGCTTACACAAATATTAAAAGAACTAGAAGAGCAGAGACTCCAAATATTTTATTCACATTTTTGGTGTGCCGGAAGTAAATGCCTTGTTGTTGGTGTCCTGGTCTTCTGAAGTCAGTTTTGCACAATGTTGTCTGCATTGGCCTAACTTCTGTACAGGAGTTTTTCTCAGTTTTCAACAGTAAATACCCTTGATAGTGGTGCTTTCTGAAATATTCCAGTACATTCCCAACAGCTTCACCAGGAAGTGTTTACCAGTGTCTTCCAGCCAGTGTTTTTCTTCTCTTTAGATGTACCAGCACACTTCAGCACCACTACATTACCCAGGGCTGCACGAAATAAAAATTCCCTAAAACTGCAGTCTTAGAGTCCATTTCATCTTCAAGTGACAATAAAAAATGTAAAGGGAGATCGCAAGCAGTAACTTATTGATCATCTGTCTTCCCTGTGCCAGGATGAACATTATTTACTCTAATCCAAAGTATGTTATTATCTGTAACTATTAACTCTGTCAAGTTCCAAGAAATATAAATGGGATGTTTTCTATGTAGGCTGAAAGTATACTGTTATTTTAGTTCTTCTAATTCTCAGTTCTAGGGTTATTTCATTAAAAAATAATTGTCCAGTTGTGTTTAGGTGACTTGTTATTTCACCAGATACCACATTTTCTTGCCTCATTGGCATATAATGCCTATAAATGTCCATGGGAGTTGAAGGAACATAAGAAGAAAAGAACATACTGTATTTTTGAAAGAATGTAAACATACTTAATAAGCATTATAATGTTAACATATACCAAATATTCTTGACCTACCAAATTTTAATCTCTAGTTTTACAGTTTAGCCTTAAAATAGAACCAAAAAATTAACGAAATTTCTTTGCATTGAAGTTGGATACCTGAAACATGTTTAATTAGTTGTTTAGGACAACATACCAGATATGCCTCTTTTTGATAGCTGAACCTGAAACCCCTTATGTTTCCTGAATATTACCACTGCAAACATCTTTAAAATAGTTATTTGGGCAAACCTCATCAAGATGATTAAATATATTTGTACTGATCTGCCTCAGCACTTCCCTGTTTCATCAAAAAGCCTGGATCAAATATTAGATCTACAATATACTCTTGAGGAGGAAGCAGAAGCCCAGATATTCCTTGAGGAGAGTCATCAACCAATTTAACTTCATTCCAAGCTCTGTTGTACTTGCCACGAACTAAACTACAGCCAATGCCAATTCTGTCTGCTAGCACCTAAAAAGGAGAGAAAAAGGAGTTAATCACAATTAATACATGTACATTCTGTGACATATGGAAAGGCCAGTATGCTTAAAAATAAAACAAATACCCAAAAGGCCAAGAGCTTTCTTGAAACAGACGTTGTAAATCTCTAAAGTGTTCCAAATTGCAGATTTTATTGTTGGTTCTGCCTAGAAAGTGTAGGCTTTTAAATGTTATTTCTATCATATTCGATGCACAACATGAAAAGTATTAATTTTAACTCTTTTCAGACACTGTTACTTTTGTTTACCAGCCAGTCCTTCAGATCTCAAATGAAGTGCAACATCCACAGTACCCAGCAATGTTTTTTTTTTCTAGTTGGATGACTTACTTCTGAATAATATTTTGAAGAACTGTCTGTTCAAGCATTGAGGTATAGCTACACTGCACACATAAAGCTAACATGAAATAGGAAGTGTTAAAATGCAACGTTTTTATCAATGTAAGTCCAGGACTGCTGCTTTCCTTGAAAGCACTTGGTTTGTGGCAAGCCTGCTACATGGAACACCTACCTTTCCTCTGTGCTGCACTATCACTGACACACCTGTAATGGTTTCCAGCTACAAAACTGCTTTCTCAGAGTGCATCTGCTGTGAAGGAGTGAAATCCTGAAAGATTTTTAACTTGTTACAAATGGGCAAGGACATCCATTGCTTAGACTGCTGTGGCTTTAAGAGAGATGATTTGTCCCTGCATAGGTTTCCTGAGACAGTAGTAGGGGATAAGTGAACATCAGTGCTGCTTCAGCACAATTAATTCACGCCCTCAGACCTCCATAAAATATGTCAGGAACTTTCTCTCCCCATGGAGTCCATAAATTTAGGATTGTGCTGTATCTCCTGTGTACAGTTCCCTAGGTCCTTCTTACTTAGTGTGCTAGGCCCGTGCTTCTCCTTTCCAAGAAGGAGAAAAGTCCAGCTACCAAACAGCCAAGTGAAAAGGATAGGACAGGTAAGCAGCCTGCACCAATACACCTTCATGTGCAGACAGAAGAAATGAATCTTCTCAGTCTAAGAAACTAGAAGATAAAAGCTGTTATATACTACCACAGAATACTGGATAGATAATAAAAATTGTCTCAACAAATTTACATTTGCAACATAGAAAAAAAAAGGAAGTTGCATAATTCAGTATCTTACAGGTTACAGAAAATGTAAAATGTTTTGACTCTAAACCAAATATTTTGTCTTTTTGTCATTTATCAAGTATTCTGCTGATATCGCTTAAGACAATTTAATGACAACAGGAATGCTTACAAAAAGAAGCAATGCTGGCTTTCGTTCACTGGGAAATCAACTTTGCCTGTGAAAAAATGACTTAACTGTATACAGAAGATTTTATATTAATATAAATATCATATTATATTATACCAATGCAAGTGTAGCTAATAATAGCCATTAAACATCAATATATTATGTTTAAAAAAAAATGCTAATTAATGTACCTTGAAAAGTAAAGCCCTGTGATAGAATGTCCCTTTTTTAACTCTCCCAATAGGCATAATGTTGCATTTCAGTTCAAATTCTATTTCACTTAGGTGAAGCTCCCAGCTGAAGGCGTGTAGTTTGTCTCTCTTGATTGGGCCACCCATCTTGTCTGCAACAAACCTGTTCCAATGTATACTGGAATCAATTCAATCTGTAATTTCTTCTGAATTTATCACAAAATGGTAGCAAAATGAAATGTATACAAGCAATAAGTGAATGACTTGTAAGACTTTAACACTTTTGCTATGTTTGCTTTACTTTTCTATTTCAGTAACTGGTATTTTAAATACACGCACTGTTAAATGCAGATAACCAGAACTCGAGTCATTCACATTTGTCACAGACCTAAACCAAGGTGCAACAGCCATCAGCAGAGATCCAGAAGAGGTCTAGTATAGGCACATATTCCTCAAAGAAAATCATCAATAACAGTGTAATTACTGAGGCAATGGTTCAGAAGTTCAATAGTGTTCATCTGTACAGCTAACAGATTATGTAAGCTGTGTATTACAATCCCCAGTCCTAACATTTTTTTTAAATAATAACAAAGACAGAAGAATATATAACACAAAAATAAAGCTGGAGGTAATGATCTCAACACAGGAAAGCAACTATATCCATAAATGGTACTTGAACTTCTACATCTGCTTTCTTACATTGAAGCCAGTATTTGGGGGGTAAGTGTGCATTTATCTGTTAAGAAGAATGACTCAGTTACAGGAACAGATCAGAACTCACAATCTATGCAAAAGTTGCCAAAAGCATGCCTTTTGGGTGACTGTGTACACGTGAGATGAAGCTCTGATTTTTAAGTCCCTAGCTCTTCACACACACACCTTTACCTCCCCTCTGCATACTTACATGCCCTGTATGTAAAGACCTGTGTTCCTCACGGTGTCCTCAGCCGCAGGCACAAATGTTACTTGAGGGCTTGTCACTCTGGACAAGGTGTTGAATAGCTGACACAGGAATCACAGCCACTGCTTCAGACAGGATGCCAAAATCTGCATCACCTCCTCTGCAGCAACCATGGACAAGTTCTGTCTGCACTGTCCATGCAAGGCAACCTCAGAGGCCTTACTTCTCAAACCCTAGGGCCTGAGGAGGTACTGGTTGCAACAGGATGGGCACAAGGAGTTACCACCGAGAAGGCCAGAGGGAATTACTGGGTGAACCTGAAGAAGGGCAAAGCTCCAGGTAGTCACTTGTGCTGCTTGTACCCATAGCACGGCTTCTTGAGCCTGCCTGCATGTCTGCACAGAAATGTGCTGGTTTGTTTAAAAGGAGCCAGCTAGCACTACTGCATGTTCCTGCAGCTACCCCAGCTCCCTCCCCCGAGAGCACAGCAGGAACTCGGCTCAAGCTGCCAGGCTGCTGAGGGCTGCTGCAGCTGCCTCCTCCTCCCCTTCCTATTCAACACATGCTCTTCAGGCAGCCGCTTAAAATGGAACATAGACATAAAAATCCCCACAGAAAACATTCTATTTAATTTCCCGTGATTGTTCCGCTGGGCTGTGCGTCCGCAAGAATGTCATTGGCGCGTTTGAAGAGCGGATTTGAAAGAGCATTTTATGGATTCCACCTTGAGGAAGGCAGCGTGATTTATACACAGCTGGAGAGTTAAGGATGAATATCTGTCCTGCCAAATTTTGCAATCAACAGAAAAGTCAGTCCTTGTATCACATTAGACCACTTTACTAAAGATGAGAGTCGGTATAAGAAAGAAATTTTGTGAGACTCAGTGGGATCTGACGCCAAACTCTCCAGATTCAGGAGGTAGGCAGGAAACTGCTAAGAGAGCAGAGGTTAAACTAAGGAGAAGACAGAAGCAGACACACTGCTTGGAGATGACAGTGATTGGTGCCCAGGCTGAGTAGTCAGTGAAACTAATGGGTCACTAATTGATGACAACAGTCTGTACACGCACCATTGCAATATTCTGGCATTATTAAATCATTAGGATAATAATTACAGTAGCACCTAAAAACTACATTAGAAAAATGTTTCATGCTTTTCACTCTATAAGAAGACAAAGTGCAAGAGTTTCTGTCCTGAGTTTCCAAACCCATAAGGCAAGAAAGAAGGTAAGAAAAAGAACAGACATGATACATGTAAATTCAAAGTCTTGACTATTAGGTTAGAGTTTTATCTTCTGCATTTAGACTCCAAAGCACCTGGGTCTCTCCTGCTCCTTGATGATATACCTGCCATATGCAGCTAATGTGTTCCTTGGAAAGGATCAGTACAGATAAATAAGTGTGAAAAACCCTGAAATTGTCCATACGAATATTTTCAAAATGAGAAATTTATAACCTTTCGCTGCAAGTGATATTTTATTTTGAAAAACCCAACATCTTATTACAACAAGATTAGAAACAAGAAGCCTAAAATCTAAAATTTTGTCAATATTCTGGACCAAAGCTGATTTGGATTCCAATTAGGGATGGGAAGAACAACAGATTTGGAAATGTTGACCTTGGGTGAGAAAATGGTTATTTTACCAATTCAACTTATTTGCATTATTTATGGAAATATAATTTGGTACTCACTGTGCAAGAGCCATAACCTGTTCCCGGGTAGTAGCTAGTGGTAGAATTGTTTTGGAAGCATCCTTAATGTAATCCAGTAAAATGAAGTCTGGTGGTGGCAGCCAGTGTGTATTTTCTAGATTTATTTCATCCTGGGCTTTAGATATAATCTGAACATCTTCTTTTGATTTTTCCTCTTCTTTTTTCCCCTTTCCTTTTCTTACATAGAAAACAACATGTATTTAGAATACTGTATCCTCTAAGGTCCAAATCTGAATACAGTAGTTCTCCAACAGGTTAGGAAATACTCCAAAATCTACAGAGCTGTAGAGAACACTTGTGGAACATGCCCTTGGGAGATGGTTAGGAACCAAGTGTCACTAACTCCATATTAATATTGCTGTAAATTCTCATTTGGCTTTTCTCCATGGCTCTGGTATGCCTTTCCCATATATGGATTAGCTAGGGGAGAAGACACCTACATACACATTGGAAACATTTTTAGACAGTTATGGTTGGTATTGTGTGGATATGAACTAAAATTCATGAACTCTAATGAGTTTTTATTTGACAGAAAGCCAGACTTCAAATAAAGGAACAAATGGTATCAGGAGCACGGCAGAAATCTTGACAGGACATGCCAAGCAGTATTCTCTGTAGTTGCAAGTCCATGTACTTCAAGCCTGCAAGCTACAACACGGCTTGTCAGATGAAGATTTTATAAAAATTCTGTGGTTTTGATGACTTTTTTTCATTGTACATGCTACATATTTCACTAATCTGAAAAATTATTGTGATTCTGAACAGGAATCATAAGCTCCTAGCAGAAGAATAAATTAAATGCTTGCTCTGCTTAGATTGAGTACTGTGCTACAAGTTATGTAGCAACTATAAAATCAGTATCTTACCAGAGGTATCTCTATATAATCAGATAGTTTAGGAATTTTCATTTGTGGGAACACATGGAACTTGTGTTTCCTAAGCATCATATATTTTGTCAGCATAGGTCTTAAACAATTCTGCTGTGAAATATGAAAAATTTATGTCCTTTGTTTAACAGTCCTGGCTTATTTTTTAAAATCCACAAACTTTTGGCATTTGTGGAAGCAAAAAAAAAAAGAAATGAAGGATCACTTGAGTACATGGCTCCAAGGCACATTATCGTTATTGTATGCTCTTCAACTTATTCTTACATTTTCACAATGAACAGCACTCTTAAGACAGAAGGCACTGGACAAAGCAGAAGGGCACATGCCATTATCAGTAGTCTAATCCAAGCAATTTGTCTTCAGAATACCTTGTGAACTTCTTTTACTTATTGAGATTTACCATATTCACAAAAAGCCCTTTTCATAGGTTTCATAAAGCACGTTATTTTAGAAGGGTAGCCAATTAAGATTTAATCTTACAATTATAGAAAATTCATCACCCTCTTAAATAAACCTTTCTGGTTATTAATTACACTTATACTTGAAAAAAGCAGAGAAACACTTTTCTTTATCTAGTTTGACTCTATCTCCAGGGAACCTTATAAAGCTAGATTAAGCAGCTGCCTACTTCTCCATTTATACACTTACACATTATGGCTAAGAATACCCTGTTTAAAAAGCTCTGAATTATTCCTGCCCTTCCAGTGTCTGACTTAGGAGGTTTTCAAAACAACAACGGCTACAAATACTAAAATTCTTGTTCCTTGACCATCTTCTCTCTTTGTCCCCTGCTCTTCCTTTCTATCCTCCCAGTACTTTCTTTTCCATAAGCAAAGCGCAACACTAAATTACCGTGGTATAGCAGGAGAATTTGTTCCCTGTTCCTATCTGCTCAAACAACTCTTGAATCACTCTTATTCTGCTTCTTTCCAGTTTTCAGGAAGAAAAGACTTGAGCAAGATGGTTTTAACCAGTGACTTGTTTGTTTTTTCCTCTGCTGCTTATTTCTCAGGTATGACTATGTTCTGTTCCTTGGTGGAATGGCTGCTTTAAGGTTGTCTTCCACACCTGTGTCTGCTTTACTCCTCAACTCTTCAGTTCAGCCTGTCTAACACCTCATAAGGAACTGTGGAGATGCTGTCTTACAGCCAGCCCAGTGCTATAAAACAACCAGTAACCATTACAGTAAACTTCTCCTATCTTTTTCCTGTCCCCTTTTTTCAATCCTTATTTTATTTACCAGTGAGAATTGGGATGTCATAAAAAAATCACTCCCCTTTCTCAAAGCTGTGTTACTCCTGAGACATACTTGCTGCAAATGCAGGGGAATATTGTAAGGGAGAACTCATGGCAGTTAACAGTTTCCAAGCTGTTTTTGATTCCTGTTTCAACTTCAGCACAAGTCCAATGGGTCACCAAAGAGTCAGTGTGAGGAAGAAGGCAGCAATACAATATCCTGCTACCAAAAGACAGCCATGACACCTATTTTCTTTCCTTTTTTTTTTTTTTTGCATAGCTTAATGCCTTGGCTGTCTTTAGAAAAGGCATAAATGAGCATTGGAAAGTATTTCCCTAAATGCTGAATGTAGTATGGAATAAATGCACATTTGTCAATCATCATCTTTTAGCCCCATCAATGTGTGTATCAGATATACAACTGTTAGATAAAAAAATTTTACTATCTGGCTATGCAAATATATGTCAAACTATCAGCTAGGCACTTCCTCTACATCTAATTAAAACACTTCCAGCAGAGAACTACAACTGCCCTTTCTCTTAGCTTTTAGCTATGGTTTATATAATCTAGTATCACTTTTCCAAAACAATGGCTTTAAACTGTGTTCAGTTGTACTTTGAAAAATAATGAAGAAGAGAAACATATGATCAAAGTAAAAAAATATGTAGGAAGAAGTCTAAGCATTGAGACTTGGAGTCAGCTACTGACCTTCAAGTAACTCCCATAAATCTCACAAATTAATAATAATAGTGATGTATGAATTATGGATTCAAAATGAATGACAATGGGGTTATAAATCATACAACTTGATCATGACACTCAAAAGCAATTATTTCATACTCAAAGAAAGAAGTCTTTGTATCCCTGCAAGTTTACTACGGGAAATTGTGCCAGGCATTTGTTTTTCCTGAAATAATTTTTTTTTTGCTTTTTGAAAGAGTTACGGTTGCTAACAGAGCTATCATTTGCTGTGTAATTGACATAATTTACATTAAAAAGCAACCATCCAAGGGCCTCCCCATCTCACACTGTAATAAACAAACACATTTTCCTGTCAGAACACGTCTCTAAGCTCTGCACAGCTGCTTGAGACTGTGCAATATGGTCTTCTGAGATGAAGAAGTTAGAGTAGGCCTGGTAAGACACTCAAGATGCTGTATCTATTCTTTTGCATCCTGAAACAGGAACCTTCCACAATGCAATTCATATGATCCATTTCAGATATCTACTACGGAATTATTTAAACTGAATTCTAGAAGTGTGAAGTGCTTGCAGTCCAAATAACTATTCAGCTGTAAATCTTGTAAATCAATAACTGTTGGATAGGCTAGTCTCACGATTTGGGTCCTAATTTGTCAGAACCTCAAGCCTTTAAAGTTAGCAGCTATTATCTATGGACAACTTGCATGTCTGTTCTAAAAAACCCAATACACATATAATTTAAAGTCTGATACCTTAAGCCTTTTTCTCTAGTGCTGATTTTGCTGACTGAATGCTATTATCCAGATAACTCCTGCTTTTCCTCCATTGGAGATACCATTGAACTTTTGAGATTACAAAGCAGGTTCCAATTTTCTCTTTACTTTCTTACTGCATATTTCATCTCTCAACCACAGACATATAAAGACACAGAAATATATAAGCAGTATAAGAAGTCAACCATTATCTCTATCAATATCACAGTTCATGGATGAGCCCCAAGCTAAAAACTGCAAACACAGTACTTCAGTTCCTACAACAGACATGCCATGTCTTCTTTTTTTTCATCCCTGAAAAATTTAGCACTTTGTAACGTCCACCACTGACTAGAATTCACAACCCTGAGGTGTGGCCAAGGCTCCCTAGACCATAAAACACAAGAGTAGGAAGTGAGGACTGGGATCCACAGAAACCAGCATGATAAATCATCAGCTTGCTAAGTCAGTTAACAATAAAGCCAGGGAGAATCGTAGGTTACATCGCCTTCCTATCAAGGGCTAGATACCAACCCACTGATGGCAAGGAGGCTCTACTTGCACTAGTTTTGGGATCCTGAATATTACTCTGGAATTAAGCATGGACACCTGTTTTCTCTGAAAGGCACTGATGTGATCATGGTTGTGCTGCTGTTTTACATGAGGCACAGCTGGAAGACCATGGTTCACTTTTCTTCCCCAGGAACAAACTAAGGGTTAATTATTTTATATGACAAGTCATCAAGACAAGGACTAGAACGTTGGTCTCTGTCAAATTAGTGCCTTAAAAGCTGAAGTAGAAAGCTCTGTTCATTAGACTTCATTGTTCATGAACAGCTACAACAAACCAGAAAGACACTGCTAGGCCCCAAATATCTTGTGATCAGCTATCTGCAGGTGGGAGGGAGAGGTTCAAATCCTCTTTCTTTCTGTAAAAGAAATTCTGAAAAGAAGAAATTAATTTCCCACTACAAAGTTAGTGGTTCTGACCTATTTGGTATGAGCAGACATGCCCACCAGATCAGTTCCACAAAAAGGACTGCAGGGCTGTGCCTAGTGTATTGTATGAATCAGAGGGAGCCCTGCAAGAGCAAGGCATTTTTAGGCTTGAACAGTTTTGAGCACACCCATCTCAGCTTTGAGTCATCTAAGGAATTTCACTGGAAGAAATTTAATCTAGAAATATGCATACATGTAGGCAGTGTAGGTACTTTTTGTGGATCTAGGTTCTACATTGAGAAAGAACTTCTACCCTAATTTCCCCGTCTCTCAGTTGTCAAGATGTAAAATAATAGCATTTCACTGCCTCCAAGGAGTATTGAAAGGAAAAATAGCCAAATAAACAGGAGATGTTCCAATACAGCATGGGGAGGACAAATAACCACTAAGATAGATAAAGTAAGATTACTGCAATTAGGAGGTGAAAGAAAAACTCAAAAAACCTATTTAACATTGCATTTAAGCATTTGTACTCTGTCTGGAATTGAGTCTATCACTATTTTCAACCAGAATTCTATTTCTAACGTTCGACCAATAACGGAACATAGACAATCAGTAAATCTTAAAACATACCTTGCTTTTTCTTTACCACCTCTTCTTGAAAGAGCAGGTGACAAGATAGTCTGTTCATAATATGAATCTTGTGCCTTCTCCTCTACTGCAAGACTGAAATAGAACAAAAGTTTTTTGCATGTTATTTGCAGAGGTAGTGTTTGCACATTAAGCTGTGAAAATGGAGTTCTGATTTAAAAGGACAGTAAATATATTCACATGAAGTATGCAAGTAGAAGAAATAACATAACCAGTAATAAGGCAGATATTGATTCAGGGATTAAAAATGAAGTATGTAATACCAAATGATGGATACAAAATCTAACTGTGGAGCAAGGCTGCTGCCAAGGTGCAAAGGCAAAAAAATGTATCAAAGTCAAAGAAAACCTGATAGTTAAAGACAACTCTAGGATCAACAAAGAGCATGGAAATCTAATTTGTCACAGATATTCTCAGACATCTTTATGGTGTCATATACAAGCTTAAAAGGGGAGCTAGTGATATTGTAAACCAAATATGTGATGTGTTGACAGAGAAGAAGGTTTTGGACTTGCAAAATATCAGTAGAGCATTCTTTGATCTGTGAGACTGTTTACAGGAAATGACTCCCAGTTAAACAAGTCCAATACCAACTTCCTGCATTCAAATCTAATATTTGTTAGGCTGGCTTCAACTTAAACAGAGAAGAAATGGAGACAGGTTCTTTATCAAGCCTGAAAGCTTGATGGTTGACTTTGTCCTGCCTCTTGGGATGTTGTACTTAAAATTCCATGCATTTGTCCATACAAGATCATCAAACCAGAGGTTTCATTGTCTCAAGCTGACATTCAGCTTACATGACATAATTATTATGTCAGATGACAAGCTTTGTTATAACTAATAAAACACTGGGTGTCCCACCATCAGGAATCAAAGGGTGTTAAATAAGTAGGTCTTAATGGCTAAGGTAAAAAAGCAAGTCAACTGAATATATTTTTTCTGTCTAGGGGGAAAAAGTTATTTTTTTTAATTCTTATTTTATGAAATATAAATATCTTGCCTTCTAGGACATGAAGCACTGTGCCGGGATTAAAACAGATCTCTCTATTTTATATATGTGTACATGTATCTATACTATATAGTTTGTACTGGAAACAGTGAAAACGATGGAGAAGATGAGCTATTGCAATAAATGCTAGTAGATCAAACATGACTCACTCTCCTTGTGGTTTAGCATTAATGAAAATTATGGGCCGACGATCAGTAAGCTCTTGCATACTCAGTTCCTTCAATGATAAACATTTCATTCCAGGTTTTATCTACAAGAAAATTAGGTGTTCTATTCAGTTAAAGATCAAGTGAAAAAATACATGTAAAATATATTTAAAGAGTAATATAAAAATCCTAATCTTTAACAGAAGACTTACATAAGAACTTATAAAGCAATTCAAAATGTGAAAGTTTCTTCATTTGCATTTTCTTCATCCATTTTCTTAGAAAATATTGTTTATAAATTGTAGTTATTGTTACTATGTCACTCCAAACAGTTCTGGAATAAAGGACTTTACAATATAGGATGGAATTTTCAAGAGCAATCAAGTGCTTTAGAGGCAGGTATTTCACTGATTTTCAGTAAGACTGGTATTTCTAATTCTTTTGGGCATTTTGAAAAGTTCTCAGATTGAAGCTGAACACAGCACTAATAAGTGATACTGGAGTCAGTCTTTATAAACACTGCTTTGTGAGAGACAGTCATGACCAAGGTGAAAATATGAACTCTTTACTTCTTTATGTAAAAATAAACAAAGAAAAAGTCTATAGGTCATTCAGTGTCAGGCTCGTATTAAGTGCACTGCAGGGAAAGAGAACAGAAGAACTAAGGTCTGAGAAAGGATCTGGAGAGGAACAAGGTCTGCACAGCTTATATAGGATTAGGAGGAAGATTGCAACTGGGGGATAGGGATAGCATGAAGATGATGAGATTTCATCCATGAAGAAAGTTAATGAAAATGAATTAGTATAAAAGCTGGGAAACTTCAGGACAATAAAACCAAGTATTTTATGTAGCAAGATTCTGGCTTTTGCTATAGTACTCTTACTTTTTTTAAATCAAGAAGAAAATTTTATTCTTTCTAAGTAGAGTAATTTATTTAAAGTAGCTTACCCAGCCACAATCATAGAAACCATCAGTAATGATATTACTTGATGATAAGTATCCCATCTGGCTGTACTTTTGGGGAAGATTGTTATCAAGTAGCTTTTCCAGAGCAGCTTCACTAAAGTTATTTTTGCGCCCTGTTGATAGATTAATTTCTTCCAGGATGTCTAAAGCACTGTTAAACAAAATACAAAGGCTAATTCATCATTAAATACCAACTAATCGTTATTATACAGTTCAGAGTTAGTTTTCAGCATTACCAAGGCCAAGACAGACTCATTTCTAAGCGCTAGCCTTGTGTCCTCTGGGCCAGGAAGGAGCTGGCTGGGCTGCACAGAGTTCTTTCTCTAGGGGAGGAAAATGCCTTGCAGCGCTCAAAAGCAAAAGCAATGCCTTTAGGAATAGCGAAAGAAATGTGGACAGGATGCCATGACCTTTTATCCAAAGGATGTTAGACACCACAGAGAACTTGAGAAAAAGAAGGATGTGAAAGTAGAATGAAAAGGATAATGTTCAGAGCTGACCATATGATTCAGTCCAGGGAACTTCTGTCTCTCTCTCTCCAACCTGCAATACAATTTGCAGATTCCAGTTGTGCATTATGCAATGTGTGAATCCTTCTGGTTTAGGACTGTTACTGTGGGGGAGGAGCAGTTGGCAGAGATTTGCTAAACAGAGATGAACATGGAAATGCAAACAGCACCACCAGGGTGGCATGAGTTTTGCAGCATGCAGGTAGAAACAACTCATCATGTGGGGACAGGGGAGGACAGGAATTAATTTCTTAAACTGTTTCTGGTGCTGAAACCCACACACTGATAGCTTCTGAAACAACAACAACAAAAAAAAAATTAGGAAAACCTCACTAAGAAGATGAAGGAAGCTGAATCAGGAGAACATAGCATACTGCAATTTTGGAACTGTTTAGGAATGTAACAAAAAAAAAAAAAAAAAAGGGTGATATAGTAATGTGTATGTGTACGTATTCAAATTTTATTTGTATGTCTGTACACACATGCAGACATTCTTTGCATCCAAAGGAATAATCTATCTATCTATCTATCCACCTACCTAATGAACTTCACATTTAGACTGTTTCTCTCTGTGAACTACACAAGGAACCTCAGCTGTGGATATTTACAATGCAGGTTTCTGAAGGTACCTCAGATGAATCCAGAGAACCTTTTCAGGCAAGGCAATTGACAACCTTCTCTTTGAAGACAGCAATGGGAGAAAATAGTGGAAGGGTAGTACAGGCTACTTGTCATACTGCAACAAAGTCAGGTAATCAGCAAGAAACTTAAGGAAGAATTTTATGTAGGAAAATGAAGAAGGAAAGGCTAATGTGTCCAGCAGTGTCTAAAATAAATGACATTACAGTCACAATGGTACATTACCCTCATATGGAGGAAAGACAAGCTGAAACGAGACAAATAGAGCTGCACTAAAAATTGTGAAGACTCAGAAAGTGAAAAAAAGGACTCACAGAATGAAAGTACTGACACCTCCAAGAGAAATTAAAAAGTAAGGGACAAAAACCAAAAGACCACATGCAAACTGAGACACAACTATTCAGGGATGTTTCATATGCTACAAGTCAGAGAGGAAAATGTAGGCTTATTACTCAATGTGAGAAGAAAACTCATAACAGATGGCACAGAAAAGACTGAAGTGTCTGATGCCTTTTTTGCTTCAGTTTTCATAAAAAGGTTGCAAACAGATGCCTGGCAGAAGTATTAACAAGGAAGTAGAAAGAGTAGGCTTAATGTATCTAGAGTAAGTTTGAGGAGACAAAGTTAGTAGTCCATGAGGACACTTAACTCACACTACTCTGTGAATTGATAAAAAGCAACCTCTGAACTGTTTACAACTGTATCTGAAAATTCAGGGAGGACAGGAGGAGGTATCAGGAGCGTGGAGAAGGGCAAAGCTAGTGTTTCGATTTGAAAAACAAAAGAATAAGGAAATTACACTAGAGTTCACTCAGCCAAATTTCAGTGTCCAAAGGACACCACACCAGATTATTAATCAGTTTGCAAGCAACAAGAGATAAGAAACGGCCATTATGTATTTGTCAAGAATAAATCATGTAAAGCCAATCTAGTCCTTTCTCTGACTGGGTAACTGACTTTAATGTATAGGCAGAAGTATATGTGAGAGATGAGTTGACTCTGAGATGTGTTTTGACTTTAGCAAGTCTTTTCACATATTCCTGCTTAATACTCATGCACAATTTAGGGAAATATGATGAACATGAAAATAACATGAAGTAGTGCCTGACCAGTTGAAAAACTATGCTTAATGTATTATTATCAATAATATGCTGTCAAACTGGAAGGACACATAAATTAGAATCCTACTCTGATACTGTCACAAAGAAAGAATTATACAAGAACCGTGCTATATGCAAGACAGAGAGAATTACTGAGCTTTATTTGATAGTGCTATGACCTCAGCTGAAGTACCTCATCCAGGCTGGGAGATGGCACTTCAAAATGGCATAAATAAATGAGAGAAATTCAGAGATGTGTGACAAAATGATACAAGATTCCAAAACAAAAAGAAGTGTAACATTTTTACTTTGCCATGGAAAGGAAACAGACAGCGACATGGAACATAAGCCAGTACAGTGAATTAAACTCATATTGCTATATAAAGGTGGTTATTCAATCACACTGAAAGTAGGACAACATGTAGTCAGACTGATTTGATGTAAGTGATATTTAGAACTCAGAAACCCCTTCTAATTGCAAGGATGCTCCAGCACTGGAACAGGTTACCTCAGAAAGTTGTAAAACCCCATCATGATTGCTATTTACACTCAACAAGGAAAAATATGTCAGTGTATCTGATCAGTCTTACAGTGGGCAGATTGACCATCACCTCTGAGGTCCCCTCGGTGTAAATTCCTGAGATTCCCACTCTGCAGAATACCCTCATAGATGGATTTTAAGTATCTGTGCAGTAATCAGAGAAGTGTCCAGCAGAGGGAGCAGGGCAATTATATATATTTTAATTTAACTAAAAAAGTCACCCTGTGTAAGAAGCCCTGTGTCAAAACTTATCAATATATGGAACTTGAAGTTTCTAAGAAGGAATAAATAGAGTCTCTTATATGTGACACATCACACCTGCAGTTAACCAGCGTTTATAAATCAAATTTACCCTGTGTGTAATAAGTACAATATACTGTATATTGAACTTACCTTGAAACCTTAATTTCAGTTTCATATGTTTGGGGCACTGTATTCTCTAATTTTGACATATATAAGCACATCTTCAAAATAAAGCCCAATTCAGTCACAGAGACAATACATTTTTTTTTTATAATTCTGGACATTTCTCTCTTAAGGCTTACATTTTTTCTTAAGACTTTTATTATTTATAAACAATACCATTTCATCTGTAACATCTGTGGTGCAAAAGTAGTTTCTGCTTACCAAAAAGTATATCTTAACTTGGCTATTCTGATATAAATAAGTAAAGACAGTAGAGTTCTCACACCAAAATCATCCTTCTGTTCCTTGATACTATTTCTACTCACCCTAGCCTGCATAGTTCAACAGCAGTTAGTTCATCACTTGCACAGACCATTACAGCCCAAGAGGCATTTCTTCTGACTTCTCCATTCTTAGAATGCAGCAATTCAACAAGTGGTCCCAGTCCACCTGCATTTCTTAGCTATAAAAAAAAGATTAAGACATTGCTACTTTACATATTTCATCTATCCCAACAAGAACAGCCTGTGAAATTCACCATCCTAAATATTCAAGCTTTGTAGACAAACAATGGTGAGCCGGTAGAAAGGCCATTTATGGGGGTTTCTGTGCTTCTGTGAACTCTGTGTAGGCTGGAGATGAAGCAAGCTTTGTAGTGATACAAGGCACACATCCCTTCTGGCTCTGCCTTCCTTTTCGGTTATTAGATTGCTGCAGTGTGGAAGCTAACGAGACTATGCAACCCGAGTCTGCCATGGAGAGTCACACAGCTTTTTTCTGTGTTCTGTTGCCTCCTAGCAACTAATTTACATCACAATATATTTGAATTTGTGTTGTATTGTATGTATGACAATCTTATTAACATCCTATTCTCGTGTGCTACAGTATCTTTCCTATCCATGGTGGAGGAAAAATTTCTCATTTGGATTTTTTTTAAGAGAAAGACATTTTAAGGACATTGAAAGAGGTAGATGAATTATCTATGCACCTTAGTCATGTCCTAATTAACAGCATTGACCCATGAGAAAACCCCAGCTTATGATCTATGAATGCACATAGCATCATCCTTATTTATGAAAGGAAAATACTACGACCACTGATAAACAGCAGAAAGTTCAACTCGCTGGATGCCTGGTCAAGGGATTAATTATATTTTAAGTTTTGTCTGAATTACATTCACTCCATGCACCGCCGATATCTTATTAATTAAGGTCAGATAGTGCTGTTCAGACCTTGAAAGCTCAGGCCTCAGAACAACACTGAGACAGAATAAAGAAGACAGAACTTCTCATCTTCAAAGTTCAGCCGACAGTTGCAGCTATAAGAAGCCTTAGTGTTTAATGCTCATAAATATAGGGTTTAAGATATACCCCTGGTTAAAGCTCATTGAAGCCACTGGAAAGCTGCAAAACATTAATTTGGTGCGAGGAAATACAGCAGTAAAAACACAAATGAAAGAAAACCCTTTTCTATTTTTTAAACTGAGATAAATTCAGTCAATAAACCTGTGATGCAAATAAAAAAATTTTTACTACCTAGAAAGCCCAGGACTTTTAGGACATAGACGAAACACAAAGATCCTGGGTAAGTACAACCCCAGGCTCAGGATCTAGAGGTGTTATAAACAACCGCGACCTTGCGGAGTAGTTTTACCTCAGTTCTTGCATCAGCGTCACAAGCAAACGCAGCCACAGCACGTGCCGCTTTGCTTTGCACTTGGCTGTCGGTGGAGCGCAAGGGTCCCGCCAGCGCGGCCGC